AAAAAAAAAAAAAAAAAGAGGTATTTCCTTGGGGGACTATTTTTTTTAGTACCAGACTGATGCTTATAAGATATTTTAGATTAGAAAAACTATTTTTCTCAAAACCAGGTAAGATGACAAGCTTTTATTCTGTAATGTCCATATGGTTCACGATACACTCCCCTGTCAAGGCTCTCCACTCAGGGAGAAGACTTGGAACTTTGTAAGGCTAGAGTTTCAACTTCCTCTTTTCCAACGCAACAAAGAATTTTCTATACCTTGAACTTTATAACCAATCTCAAACCCTCCTAGCTGATGACTCGACTCTAGGGATAAGAGTTCATATTTACAGAATCAAAGCAATTGTGAGCTTTTAGTACCATACTTTTATATTGCCAGTCATTTTCCTTTGCCTACAACTTTAGGAAAAACAACTGAGTGGATGAGACCTATGTAGAAAATTTCTTAAACTTATCTGCCTTGTAATTTTAAGTTTCTCAGCAACTTATGCCCTTAGGAAATCAAACCATACAAGGCTTAACTCTGTTAACTATAAAGGGATGGAGTCGGCAGGGCTGTGTTACCTTTATGTCTGTGGTTACCGAAGTCACCAGGAACAGGGACTTTAACAGGTGTGGCTGAACTCTGAATGGTCAGCACACTGGGAGTGGCAGCAGTCGAGTTGGCCTTTGGTCTTTGTCTTGGTGCAATTGAGGTTTCTGTTGGTCCGATGGTATCTGTTATTCTACAACAACAACAAAAAAAACTTCATTCCAAACACTGGGATTATATCTAATTTACTATTTGTTCCATAAAGTATGTAATCCACTACATGGGTTTTAATTATTGTTGGTCACGTTAGTCCTCACAGCTCTCTCCTAGGTTTCACTCTCAAATACTAAATGTTTAAAGAACATAGGAAATCAAATGAAATGAAACTGGGACTGTGCTCTTTTCTGCCAGCTTCAATGGCAGACCATAAATAATAGTGTACTATTTTAAGAAAAATGGTTAGTTTTATTTTATTTGCTTTCCTATCTTCTTTTAAGGTGATAAAACGATATTAAAAGGAAACAAACAATCTTTTTCATGAGGTTTTAGAGAAAACTGAAAACCAACTCTATGAATCAGTCAGAGAAACAACAAGAAACAGAAGGAAACAATCTCTCCTACCTCGGACTCAAGACTTTGAAAATGAGAGAAGAGAGGAGACAAGAGGGGAGACTGTACCCTACAACATATAAAACGAAAGAGAGGAGAGAAGAGAGGAGACTGTACCCTACAACATATAAAACGAAAGAAGCCAAAGCTTTTAGCAGGTGAAACCACCTACCCGTATTTAACTTCTTGGATCTTTAAATATGCTTTATTTAAAACTCTGAATAGAAATTACACAAAACTTTTCCCATTAGGACTTAATTTAGGCCCCAGATGTGGTTAGCTGAGTGATAAGCACACAGTTTTTAAATCAAAAGACAATAAATCTGAGAAGACACAAACATTTGCTTGTCCTTTTCCAAAAAAAAAAAAAAAGACAAGTAAAATGTTTAACTTAAATTATTTATCAACTGTGCTTTCTATAAATTAAGTATAAAAACTCAAATACTTTTAATAGGGCCATATGTTCACTTTCCAACAGGATTTTCAATAAAATCTCTTTATTAAGCTCCCTTACCACATTTTCAAGCGATTTAATACTTAAAATTTTTACGTGCACTTGATTTACGAGCAAACATCTGGGGCACTTGCTTCTCTACGACTGTAAATGTAGTTCTTCCTGAGTATCTGTATGTACCACAAGAGGGAGCCTGGCTAACAACTCTCTTTCCAAGAGAAGCAAAAATGAATCAAAAGAGTTTAGAAAATCATAGAAATATTATGTATAATGCTGTATTATGTACATGTGCTTTTTTTATTATGTATACATGCTGAAATGATGCAAATCATATAAACAACGGATGTGCACTAAAAACTCATATATACATATCATCAATTACATCTCATTTAATGGTAAGTATTTACTGACTTCAAATTATTGATGTGGCATTAAAACCAATGCTATACTCCCTAAATTCAAGTAATTTGGGGAAAATACTGTATACAATCTTTCTGTTCTTTATTAGTGGGTACTACAGGCCTGACCTAACTCTGCCTTGTTCCTAGTCTAAAGCACTCTTTAAATATTCACAGCACACATACACATAGCAAAAGCTCTCGAAAGCATAGGAAAAGTCTGCAGAGTCTGCTCAAATGTAATGGCACTTATTTCGCCAACGCTCCAATATCTATTACCTGTTTCTTGGTATCTACCAAAAAAATAACACAGCATCCTAATTTTCAAAGAATTTACAGTATACGTAGAAAGATGTGGCACACAGTTTAAAAAAACAACAAAATACAATACAGCAAAAATAATCAGTGCTAAGCTAGTTGTACAGAGAAGTAAGTGTACCTTTACCCTAATTTGTCTAGAGAAGGTTTCAGGTAGGAAATGGGGATTAAAATTTGAAAAATTTTAAAATAAATTTGATTCCACTGGACATTGAGAAAGAAACCAGGCTTTTTCGGTGTGATGGAATGGGAAGCAAATGCCGGCCTGGATACAGTAAGCAAAATGAAGATACAAAACTAAGAGAGAAGAGTAATGACTGCACTGACATGCGGCCCAGCCTCACCCGGGCTCTTACAACAGTCACAGCGTAGCGTAGAATCTGCTTCCCTGCTTTTCTTTCCTCCTCTATCACCTGAATGATCTTCCCAAAACTCAGACTAGTCCCACATGTACATGCAAAGTTCATGGAGATGGGAGTTTTTATTTTGTTTTGTTTTTTGAGACAGAGCCTCAAGCTGTCCCCCTGGGTAGAGTGCTGTGGTATCAGAGCTCACAGCAACCTCCAACTCCTGGACTCAAGTGAGTCTCCTGCCTCCACCTCCCAAGTAGCTGGGATTACAGGCACCCACCACAACACTTGGCTATTTTTTGGTTGCAGCTGGCATTGTTGTTTTACAGGCCCGGGCTGGATTCAAACCCGTCAGCTCAGGTGTATGTGGCTGGCGCCTTAGCCACTTGAACCACAGACGCAGAGCCGAGATGGGAGTTTTTAAGAAGCAAAGCAGAGTGCCACAGACTGAAGACACGACAACTGCATAATACCCAGGAAATCTTTTTGAAAACATGAATAATGAAACTAGTTTTTGAAACTAGTTGAAAGGCGTCCCCAGCCCGCCGGGTGTTTTTGCCACTGCTGCCTGTCCTGCTTAGCAGCTGACTGTTTCTGTGTCCGCAGTCCGGCCCTCCAATGGTCTGAGGGACAGTGAACTGGCCCCCTGTTTAAAAAGTTTGAGGACCCTTGCTTTAGAAGAGCTCTACCTTCCCCGAAATAAGTCTTTTACATGAAAAAACTTTTAACTTAATTTTTAAATATTAAGTTTAGTACACATTCAAATTTTTAAAGTTTTCATTAATACTATTCATAAAAAGTAAATTTACATTATTGACCAATAATTGATAATTTTACAGTTGCTTGTGTCATGGTGAAAGGATACTCAAATCATTCAGTTGATTCATGTTTTCTAAATCAGCACTTATCTTCTTATTAATGATAAATTATAAAAAACATAATAAAATTCAACTGGCAAATCCTATAATAATTCATAATTACCCCTATAAAAGTAGATGCGAATTAAGCTATGTCATAAATACGACAGATTGTTGGTCATGCGATTCCTGCAAGTTACATGCAACTTCACTCCTTCCTTTCAAGAGAGTATTTTGAAATTCAAGTGAATGATTTTTATAGTGATGCTACATTTTTTACAAAACCAAGCCATTTCACAAATATTTTCAAAATTTATAAATAACAGATATTTATAACACTCTCACACCAAGTCCCAAATGGAATTTATTGGAAGACTGAAAATTCACTGGCCTAACAGCCAAAGTCTAAATTTCTCAGCGTAATATATAAACAAAGTTGCTTGTGGCTGGCATTTGCCTACCAACCTAGCCTCATTCCCCACTCCAGCATACGTCCCCTCATGCTCCAGCCTTTAACTTCACAGGGACCATTCTTCTTGCCTGAATTGCCTGCCTGCTATAGTTTCGCTCTCGACCTTTCCAGGTCATTCAAGGAAAAATACAACATCTTCACCCCAGGAAAAGCATTCTGGGAGCAGCCTTCCTCCCACCCTCTCAAAGCAGCCTGATGCCTAGCAAGCTGTTTAACTATTAACTTGTCAATTAGAATGTCTTTCCAACTCATTGGAAAGGAGTGCTCCTTTCTTTGTGTTCCTATTATATATCCTGCATATAAAAGATACTTGACAAATACCTTTTTTTGTATTTTATGTCAAATAAAATACTTTGCAAAAATTAAGATAAAATGGAAAATACCTTCATACTTGCTATTTAAACTACATCATATTCCACAAGCAAGAAATCTCCCCCAAAGGAATATTATACTAATATAATCCAAGATACAGTCTTATTTATTAACTTTTAAGTTTAAAAGAAAAGCATGTGGGGGGGGATCATTATTAGTCAGAGCTTAAGCTACATAATACATTTCAAGCTTTATATATAGTAAATAACTATGAAAAATAAGATTTTCTAATTTTACTGAGGTATGTCCCTCCTTTCTTTCCTCCCTTCCTGGGGGTCTTGCTCAGTCACCCAGGATAGAGTGCGGTAACACAATCATAGCTCACTGCAGCCTTGACCTCCTGAGCTCCTGAGTGATCTTCCTACTTCCCCTTCCCTTCCAAGTAGCAAGAACCAGTTATGTTACCTAGGCTGGTCTCATACTCCTGGCCTCAAGTGATCCTTCTACCTCAGCCTCCCATGGTGCTGGGATTATAAGCCTAAACCACTGCACTTAATCTCTTTACCAGTCTTAAAAAGTCCTATAATTATAATCACTCATTATAAATTCTACAAACTACATACACATTATACATATTGTAGTTGCCTATAAGCACTGTATTTTTCGGGCATTGCTAATAGCTCAGTGGGCAGGGTGACAGCCACATACGCTGAGGTTGGCAGGTTCGAGCCTGGCCTGGGCCAGCTAAAATAACAATGACAACTGCAACAAAAAAGACAGCTGGGCATTGTGGCAGGCGCCTGTAGTCCCAGCTACTTGGGAGGCTGAGGCAAGAGGATCACTTAAGCTGTGAGCTGTGATGCCAGGGCACGCTACCCAGGGCAACAGCTTTGTCTCAAAAGAAAAAAAAAACCTATATTTTTCCTTTAAATTTAAAAATGAGCAAAGTAGCTACAAACTCAAAACATAAAATTTCCTAAGTTAAAGTTGCTATGTGATGAAAATAATGGCAAGCCCCTCAAAAAAGACTCACTGTAACATTTTAAGTTAAATAATCACGTCTTTATTGCTCAAATAGTTCAAGTGAGACTGATGTCAAACCCTATATCTAATTATTTTAAAAAGCAGACTTCATACTATTTAAACCATACCATATTCAATAAGCAACACAACATTTTTTGGGAGGGTGTGGAGATCAAGATATTTAATCAATGACATTTGCTAGCATTAAAAAATGAGACTGACTTTTTTTAAAAAATGCCTTTTCACTTTTAGCATGACTTTGCCTACCTGGCTTTTATCTGGCTTTTCCTAGCAGCTGCTTCACTAGCAGTCATGGGTTCAGGAAGGGCTGAAGGAATAGAAGAATTCTTGGAAGAAAAAGAAACATAAATAAAACTTTTCAGTTTTTAATTTCAGGAAGTTTTTTTTTAACTGTGGACATATTATTGAATTTAAAAAGCACTGTCTATGAGTTACTATCACTTTCCCATGAGATAGCTACAAATCATTCCCACGTATTTGCCGGATCTAATCTGTAGACATCACTGCATGTTACACAAACGTCACTTTCATGTTCATGTTCCACAGAAACCCTTGGAGAGTAAGCAGAAAATATCATTGTTGACAAATCTTGGGTAAAAGAAAAATTATATTATACTATTCCTTAAATCAGTGACTATTTTGCATTTTAGAAAAAGCAGCTAACACCAAGGATAAGAATAGAGCATTTCTTTCTAAATACTAACAAACGATTTTCATGACATTCACATCAAGTTTAAAAAAATGAGGCTAAGGCCTTACTCATTTGTTTATGCCCCATGTTTGCATCATTGTAGGTACTCAATAAATGCTTGCTAAATAAAAAGCTTAAAATCCACCGTCAAATCGACTTTCCTTACTAGAATGTTAGAATGGCATAACTTTCTAACTTTCAAACTTTCAGCTTCAAGAGAGAAAATATTACATGAATACAGTAAGGCCTTCAAAAAACAATAAAGCACCATTTCTTACTGGGATGACTGAAGTTACACATAAAGGAAACCTTATAAGAACAAGTCAGGCCAGAAGGATCGCAATGACGTTGAAAACAGCTTGAAAGTCAGTGATGATTCTAGCAACCCTCATTACTTTTTCTAGTTGCATTTATTTTTAATGTTCTACATGTAGAAAATAAACATTCAAATAATTTTAATCTTGTAAGCCATTAAATCTGTGTCTCTAGGCCTCTAGCAATAGTCCTTATTTCCTTTATAACAAATGGGACAATTACAGAGATAAATACAATTATTCCTATAACTATAGGAATAACAAGAATGTCCTTGGTGTCAGGATACTTTGAAAGAAAATTATAAGGAGAACAAGAATGTCCTACATGTCAGTGTACTTTGGCCTTGAACATGCTGTATTACATTATCAACCTTCATTGAAACAAGCAGAGACTGCCGTACACCTAAAGCAGTTCAGCGAATATAATTCAAAGCCCTTCAGTGACATTAGGTATCACCAACTAAGCATCTTCTATGGACTAGGTACTAAGGCGTTACATGTAATCCTTACAATTACTATCCCTATTTTATAAAAAAAGAAACAGACATTAAGTAACTCCCCAAGAGTATAAAATCTGTCACTGACTGACAGAATTGAACCCAGGTCCTTCTGTTTTTACAGTGCCTGTGTTTTTTACACAAAAGGTTTTCAAGCTTTCTCAGATAATAATGTGCTTAGTGTCTCACCGATTTTTTTCAGGGCACATCTAGGCCAGGGGGGAAAAAAAAAACCCAAATCTAATTTTCCTGTTCATTAAATGCTTAGGCCCAAATAAATTAATAAAATTAGTTTGTGCTGCTTCAAACAGATGTCACTGTGTTTTCCTCAAAACACAAAACTGCAGAATAGGTGCACAGTTTGGGTACTGTGGCTTTATACCAAAAACACAATCAAACACTATCAAACCATGGTCATGAAACAAGTAACTCCAAACATATGTGTGTGTGTATAATATCAACATACAAAAATTTGGATTTTGAATTCATAGTCTTCATGGAACACTACTTACGTTGATGTTGGAGATTGGACAATCCTTTTTGGCAAATTTAAATGCAAAATATGACACTTGAAATATATCAGGTCTACGTTCTGGGTCTGGTTCAAGCATGAACCCTGCAAGAATAGATCAAGATGTTAAGTTTTACAAAACACAGATTGCTACTTAGGTGTAAATTATAAGGATAAAAATATATATATTTTATGTTCCATTCTAAGACCAGTAATAATTCTACCAAACTTTAATGGTTATAGAAAATCAGTATTTTATAAAATAAAAGATTAAAAGCATTATCCCAAGCTAATGGCAGATTAGTCATAGAATAGCTCTGCACCAAAAGTATGAATGACAAATATGAGTATTATCTTGAAATAGTGAAATATGAAAAAGTGAGTTTAGTGAACACTGGGGAATTACTTAACCAAGTTCCACGGCCATAGTGGAGGGTCCTTCAAAATAATTCTCACAATTATATAAAATACCTCTATTACTTTTAAATGATTCTGAATCTTTAAGAAAAGGCTAAATTATGTACTTTAGAATCTATTTAAAGTAATACGGGATTGGCACCAAAAATATGCTTTCTTCCCATACTAATGCTAATAATATTCACCACAGTTCTATACCTTTTTTTTTTTTTTTTTGAGACAGAGCCTCAAGCTGTCCCCCTGGGTAGAGTGCCGTGGCATTACAGCTCACAGCAACCTCCAACTCCTGGGCTCAAGCGAGTCTCCTGCCTCCACCTCCCAAGTAGCTGGGACCACAGGTGCCCACCACAACGCCTGGCTACTTTTTGGTTGCAGCCGTCATTGTTGTTTGGCGGGTCCAGGCTGGGGATTCGAACCCGCTACCTTAGGTGTACGTGGCTGGCGCCTTAGCCGGTTGAGCGATAGGCGCCGAGCCCACAGTTCTATACCTTAACATGTAATTTATATCGTGTTCAGAGCCATGAGCAGAGTTTTATGGTTTTATTATGAATAGATTTGACACCCACCTCATAGCACTGCTTGAAATGTCTGGCCTTTTTAGTAACCAAATATCTAACTAAATATCTACTGCCACTTGTCCATTTCTTGGGTGATTTTTAACAGAAGAAGGTTACATTTATAACCAGTTTCACAACTGAACAATTCATATTTTGTTAAGACAGCTCCATGTCTAACTCTTCTTCATTAACTCTAATGTTTTATAATGCTTAAGTCACTTTAAAACCATTTGAAATATAAAATTTAAGGCATTAAAGGACATTCTGAAATTTGCTAACAAAACAGAAAAGTCTAAATACATAAATGGGTAAGATAAAATTATAAATGAAAGTGAATTAAACCTTTCCTTCAAATTTAAGCAATATTTGGAACAAAGAATGTTCAACATATCTGTAGCAACAAAATTAACTTGGTTTAGCTAAACTATAGCTGCGTGGCAGGTGATACTGAGCATAAAACTTACAAATTTATTTGGGGGATTCTGGGCTCAGCTTAAGAAAGTACAACAATTTGGGTGGCGCCTGTGGCTCAAAGGAATAGGGCACCAACCCCATATGCCAGAGGTGGCGGGTTCAAACCCAGCCCCGACCAAAAACTGCAAAAAACAAAAAAATGTACAACAATTCTGCATGAAAACTGATTTTATATATTTATAATGCTAACATATATCACTTACAAAAGTTGATTTTTACAATTGTATTTATTCATTTAGATTGCAATAACTAAAAACATTTTAATTCTAATATTTACTACTTTTTATTCAACTTCTAAAGACTTGAAAGATCTACAAGGTTTATTTTATCCTCCATAACAAATCATATTTTATCTTGATGCCAACAGGTATTAGATGTTTTAAAAGTAATAATAGTACATGAAATGGGAATAAATTTAAACACACTTTTAACAATAAATGCTTAATGTTCAAAAACAAAGAAACCTGTCAAATTCACAAACTTAAAGATCTTATTTTTCTATTCTAACAATTAAATTTGTCTTTTAAAATCTAACTTCAGGGTGGTACCTGTGGCTTAAAGGAGTAGGGCACTGGCCCCACATACCGGACGTGGTGGGTTCAAACCCAGCCCTGGCCAAAAAAATAAATAAGTAAATAAAATAAAATCTAATTTCAACAGTAGCTAATTATAAGTATCTATAAAGAACTTGAAATGGCATATGTAAGCTTTTTAAGTATACGAGAAAATTAGGACTAATGGGAAAGTAATGGCTGAGGGGGTGGAGGGCACCAAGAGAATGAGGTCAGTAACCAAAGTACCTATGATTTGATCCTAAATGCAGGCTCAAATCTAGCTCTCCACTTCCAGCTGTCACTATAAATAGGGCAACATGATCCACTACATGAATCACAGTGTCCCTAACACAAAAACAAATCAGGCGCTAAGAAAAAACACCTTCCTGATACTGCAAGTGGAAAGCAAATTGTCCCTGGAGTCTTTCAGAGATGGCTCACTTGGAGGGAACAGTATCTTTCTGGAACCGCGCTGGGTGACCGAGGGCTGTGCACCTCTCCAGAGCAGACGAGGGGCTTAACACCTAAATGCAGTTCAGTACAAAATTCTAAAGGGCAGAGAACAGTGTGGTGTATGATAACACTTCTTTGGTGGCCTGACTTGTATCTAGAGAGAAACAATGATTCTCCAAGCAATCCTGTATTTTTTTTCCGACAGCAGTTAAGCATTGAGAAAAAATAAATTGAAATTTCATGTTCTAATCCATACCAGTATGGTATGAGTAATCCTCTCTCTCAAGTGTGACACCATAGCCTCTAATAATCAGGGAGTCAAAGGGAAGGCCAATCCATGTTACCTTATAAGCAAACAAAAGGCCCTCCAATTTCCCCACTCGTGTTTCCCTGTGGGAACGCACCTGCTGAAGCCAGGGTAGTCTGTCTGTCTGCACTGATGACTAGTATTTATTTTAATAAACAGAATAGGAAATATTAGAGTGCCTTAATGTGGTAAGAACAAGCAATGTTTCATGAAGCCTGACACATTTTACATGTGCATTTGTATACCAAGTCGTAACAAAAATGCTCCACTTCTGATTTTGTTCTAAATTCAAAGTATGAAAAGATTAATAATCATACCCCAAACCCAGAGGTAGAATGTGGCTTCAATTTCATCTCTGAATACTTCTAAATTTAATATAAACAGGCTTTAAAAAGGAAAAAGGAAAAAATATACTAAGGCATCTTTAAGCAATTAATTTTAATTTAAATATTTCAGGTGAATGGGTTGAGAAATGTACCCTTGGATGACTAAAATGATATAAACTCAGGTATAGAGGCACCAGATTTAATCCAGCCAAACAACAAGGCAAGATGACCTCAAGATGAAGTCTATCAAGATGACTTAAGTTTTAAGTGATTTGTCCAAAGCCATTTTCTCTCACAATAATTAAACCTCAGGAATAGTGTTTCATTAACTCCTACTTGATCACAATAAAGCCATATAATCTACAAAAATATATATTCTTGAGGAAAAGAAATGGATTAAGAAATACATATGTAGGCTCAGCACCTGTGGCTCAAGCAGCTAAGGCGCCAGCCACATACACCTAAGGTGGTGGGTTCGAATCCAGCCCGGGCCCGCCAAACAACAATGACTGCTGCAACCAAAAAATAGCCGAGCGTTGTGGCGGGCGCCTGTAGTCCCAACTACTTGGGAAGCTGAGGCAGGAGACTTGCTTGAGCCTAGGAGTTGGAGGTTTCTGTGAGCTGTGATGCCACGGCACTCTACCCAGGGGGACAGCCTGAGGCTTTGTTTCAAAAAAAAAAAAAAAAAAAAAAGAAATACCTATGTCCAGTTCATATAAAAGTAAAATCAAGTAATTACATTTAAAAATAATACAAAAAAGCAGAGAAGCTAGAATACACCCCTGTGATCATGTGAATCATCACAAGACCATTACCACTATCTTGGAGTCTACTATAAATATAAAAGCAACTTTTTAAAACTTAGCCACAGAAATGAAAGGCTATTTCTGTTTGTAAATCTTTCTATTGACACAAACATTAGTAATGCAATCTAAGAACAGCCTGAACCCTGCAGGTAGTAGACAACTAAACCACCACAGTATTTTCTATTCGTGTATCACACATTTCCAGTTTAAAAAACATTTACCTGAAGGAGCTGAATTAACTATATTTATACTTATTACATATTAAAGTACAACATCTCTGTGCATTCCAAAATAATAATAGCTAAGGGAGCTGTGCTGCAGTTGTTATTATGGTTTAATCAAGAACCCAAACCCCAAATTAGTTACCATTCAAGTTGTACAAAGCAATAGATCCATTCCTGGGCCTAGAATAAAATTAAGCCAGCATCTCTGATCTAAAAGGAAAATGCCTGGGACAAAAACCTCAAAAGAATGTTCCTGCTTAAAATTTAACATTTTTCCTCCCATACCACAAAGATACTTTTTCTTTCCTACAGATTTCCAGTTATTATATTTACAATAATTTCCCTGAACAGAGATATATCCACTTTAATTTTGCAACCATAAATATTTCATGATTATTTTTATTTATTAACATATAGATTATAGAAATTTACATTAGTAAATTTATTCTACAAACCTTATTCTATGAACTTCTGAAATGAAACCAAACTTTACAGCTAATGATAAACATGTTCAATTATAACTAAAACACTAAGCGGCGTAACATGCACAGACATATTTGCCAGGATAGTATATTTGGGATAGTTCTAGTAACTATTCCTCAAATTAATAATCAGAGCCCTCTCTCTACATCCGTCTAGGACTAAAGAGTGAAAATCTCCAAGGAAATCCTTCCTTGATCTTTGATTTCTTTTTAAAGGTACTATAGAATGCCTGATATTTTTCTCAAAAATAATACAGAAGAGGAGCACGGGGCAGGGACGTCCTAAGATGACACGAGCTTGGCATGAATTGGTAATCACTGAAGCTGGGCGACAGCACGTGAAATTTGTTGCACTGTTCTGTCTATATTCAAATACATTATTAAATTTCAATAGCAAATTCAAATGTATTTAAGCAAGGAAGTAAATTCCTGGTTTCCTATAATATAGATATTAAAATAAATTTACCCCAATAAGTGAGCTGCAGAGCTAAGATAAACCATAAGC